AAGAAGGAGAAGAAGAAGGAGAAGAAGAAGGAGAAGAAGAAGGAGAAGAAGAAGGAGAAGAAGAAGGAGAAGAAGAAGGAAGATATGATGTGTTTGAATTCTTACTCTTGTTGAAAGAATAATAAGATAATAAAACAGAGAACAATAAAGAGGGTGCAGGCTCCACCAATAACATTTGGAAACATAGTTTGACCATTTTAAGGAATCTTAGAGTTAGAGGCTGTTCGTGAGTTCTATTGAAAAACAATTTTCTGTTTGTTTTCAAATCTACTGTAAAGAGACCGTGTGGGATGATCTGTTAAGTTTAAGGTTTTTTATTGTGCCGTTGTATTCACAAGCTCATGGTTTTAATGGAAAGATAAGTTCAGTATTTCTAAAACATCAGTTCATCTTTGAAAACCATCTAAAAGAAAAGGGAGAAACTAACTTCTAAAAACAGTTACCATTTATGTCTGCAAATATTGCTCGTCATAAGTATAAATCTGAACCTACAAATATTGCTTTTTTCATCCATTTGAGTAGCTTGTCTTATGTTAACATCCGTCTCGATCTCTAACATTCAGATAAGTAGTGGAAGACTATGAAGTTGGATGCAAGAAAAGGAAAGGAAAAAGGAGAACATGGAGACAGAAACTTCATCATCTTTCTTCACAAAAAAATCTAATAGACACAAGTATATTGAAGAAATCATAAGATTGAAGAAATCAATCCTATAAAATTTGAACAGAACTTCTTGGAATAACGATTTTAGTTCGATTTAAAAGAGCGCCGGAGATGGCAGAGATAAGGGGTTGTTTGGAGTTTGGATCTCTGGGAAATGCAGACTGTCAAATCTTCTACCATCAACAGTGAAGCTGCAATATTCTTTTACATGCGTCTTCTCCCCCAAGAAGCTTATTGAACTCTCATCTATTTCATTCTTCAGAGTTTGGGGCAACTCTCAATCATTTTGATCTTTCAAATTCTACATTTCCCCCTTTGTTTCCTCAAAGATGTGGTTAAAATTTACCCATCAAACTGAGATGATGAGGAACAATAAAGTCTGTGAAACTGATTGATACCCTGAAACAAGAGACCTCCAACCCCAATAGTGTAAACTTTGGCAGCAAGTGAAGCTTGGAAAGATTCATTCAGGTGCTGTCAAATCCAAGATGGGCCTTACTGTGCTGGCTTACTCTGCCTTGTACTCTGTTTAACCTCATGCACTCAGTGAATCTTTAAAAAGTTGGAAATGGGATTTAGATACTCATCCATAATTTTCTTCTATCATCAATAAATAAATGACTAATCTTTATGATTAGGATTCAGAACTGTTCTTTAAAGCAAACAACCTTTCATTATTAACCTTAAGATCGTACAAAATACCAAAAACATGTCATGCTCATGATGAGACATGCAAAGAAAAAGAAATTTAAAAAAAAAACAAAGGAAAAAACTCATTAAGTTTGAGAAATAAAAAGTAGTTTTACCGAACATTAACAGCCTATTAGTCAGTCAGTAAAAGGAAGGTGGATTCAGCTATGAAGTTAGAAGACAGAATCTAGCAATTTTTCTGTCTGTTTAAGAAGAAAATTGTCAGAGTGCTTATGTGTGCGCTCCATGCTTCCATTCAAATAAGCAAGTCTGCATACTTTGAAACATGTTTCTTACAGGGAGAGACAGCAAGTGGAAAAAAAAAAAAAGCAAAGGACAGAAAACCTCTCTTGAGAATCCTGCAGTATTACATTCAAAACTTTAGCAAAAGAAAAGCTTTCCCTGACCACAAACTAAGAAAAAGAGGGCACTTTACTCTCTGACAAGTACTCTTTTGGCCATAACCCAAACTCCATAATTGAGACTTTAACCATCTGCATAGAGAGACAGAGAAAGAGAGAGAAGAGAGGTGGAGTGAGAAGAAAATTGTCAGATTACAGCTCAAGAAGCATCAAAGCAAGCAGAGCAGGAAAAGTACTCATAACCCAATAAAATTTCCACTTTGTATACTTGAACTTGAGGCTAAATCAAGCCAGGAATCTGAATTTTTTGGGGGGCAATCCTCAAAGAAGTGGAGTAGTGGCTTCTGGGTCTCTGCATCTTCTTCTTCTTCCTCCTCTGTTTTAGCCGATCTCGATGGTTTGTTGAAGTCTGTGCCCAAAACAAAGCAGTGTTGCTCTTGTTGGTGCCTTGCTTGTTTCGAACTGTAAATTTGGTGGCTTTGGGAAACAGATTGTTTATAAGAATCCATTGCCATTGGCTGATTATAAACCTCAGCTAAGCTTCTTGCAGAATCTGCAATTGAGGGAAAAAACGACTGCACGCCCACACCCTCTCTTGGACCATCCATGTCCCTACTTTACACGACCCAATAATCTTAATATGTCATATTAATTAATACTTTATATCAACAACATTATTTATAATATCAATCATCAAACTTCAAGGAAAACAACCCATTAAAAGAAAAGGTAACATCTTTTTAACCATTATTTCGCACTAACCTGTAATCTTTGCCAGCCTGAGCAGTCCCCGAGTACAAAAAGAGTTGAGGGTTTGTGTTAATAGGAGAGAAATCAGAACATGGAGGTCTGGAGGAGGAAGATTGAGGATAGAGAAAGGGATGAATGGAGGATTCATGATAAGCAGCAGCAGCTTGGTGATAAGATTGAGTTTCACAGGTCAGTGAGGAAGAAGAAGAAGAGAGTGTAGAGAGAGAGTAAGAAGATGTGGTGGGAGTGGAAGAGGAGGAGAGGCTTCTGTTTGAAGTGAGGATTAAAGGCGGCGGTGGCTGAGTTTGAGTTGAGGGCGTTGAAGAGATTTCCACAGGCTTTCTTGAACGGTTTCTGCCTCTATGCATGTGCCTCTCGCAGTATTTGGAGTCTGGATAAGCTTCTTTTGAGCATCTCCATTTTTTCCCATCGGTTCTTCTGCACCTTCCTGGCTCTGGGTCTGCTTTTCTGCCAAAACCCATCTCAAAACATCCCCATCCAACTGCAGAAAAAAACACAATCAATCAAACAGTCGGACACTATAACATGCTTGCATCTGAAAACTGAGGTAAAAAAATGGCACGGAGGGAGCAGCTGTTTTGTAAGGCCTTGGCAATGGCGACTTACTGGGTTGGTGAGGGAAGAGTCTTGCAGAAATGGAGGAATCTAAGCTTCTTTTCACAGAAAAGATTAGATCAGGAGGGATTGGTACTCCTGAAACCATGTATTTGAAGATCAGAGCTTGGTGTTCCAGTTCTTGCCATTGAGTTGCTGTGAAAGGAGAGGTGCAGGCCTTGGGGCTTGAATTCATTATTCTTGAAAGTAGAACAAAAAAAGAAAAAGAAGAGAGAGAGAGAGAGATAAAAGAAAAATCTTTAAAAAGGACCCAAGTTTGAAAGACTTGAGAGACAGAGAGGAGGGTATGTTCTTGGGAGCTGCTAGTTTTTTATGGGTATTTCTGCAAAGTCCATAGGTTGCAAAAGCTTCTTCTGTCAAATGATGGCTTACTGATACCCTTTCTTCTCTTCTCTCTCACCAGAAGTCTGCAGTTATATGACTACTCCTCTGTTGGGTTCTGCCTCAGCCTTCATTGCTGCTTTTGTCTCTGACTTGCTTGCAGAAATTCATATACAAATGGATAAAAGAAAGAGAAAAGGAAACAAAATATCATAGACACACCCTTGATGTTGCTCTCTCCACACATATTCCTTGAAAACAGTGCCATGAGATTTTGCAAAAACTGCTGAAACAATGTGGTGTGATGTACCTACAGAAACTCCTTTATCAATACAAACAAAAACTCTTAGCAAGTGTCATCCTCCCATTGAACGCTCAGGAGGCTGAAAGGATCTACCAGAAACCCCCCTCCCCTCCCTCCTTTATAACATTAACTTGGCCTATTTTGCCTTTTTCCTCTTCCCCCCCTTTTTTGCCTTTTCCTCAATTTTCTACCTAAAAAAATTACTGAATTTTTACCCTTCCCTCTGGGGGTTTCCTTGGTGTCATAAACCTTTCCCTATTCCAATGGTCAATGCTTGGTGAAGACTTCCATGGTGGACATGCCACTGGACTTCATTACAGTCATTAATTGACCTTACACATTCAAATAAGCACAGCCATTTTGATTCATATCTGACAAATATAAAGACTGAATCTTGGCTGCATATCAAAAATTTAATAAATTCTAAAACGATAATAAAGATGGGAGTAAAGCCCACAATATTTTAAACTGAATAAAAATGTAGTTGGCAATATCCAGCATTTGACAGGTTCATAGTTATCTTTTGCCAAAGTTTGACAATTGTACTTCTCACCAACTCTATGTAATGTTATGATTACTGGGGAATTATTGCATATGGAGTTTTCTAGTCCAACCACTTTAAATACATTAATTCATGGGTTTTTTTTTCTTTGAAGGAAAAAAAAAACACAAAGTGATAAAAGCTATGTTCCAAATTAAATATTGTAACTCTTTTGTTACTGGAAAGGACAGAATTGGGTGAAAAAAAGGACATTTAGTAAAGTTATGTGAAAATATTGGGACAAACCAACTAAGAGACTATTGGTCAGTGGGAGGTTCCAATTTGTTTGCTTGCAATTCAAAGCTCTCTCTCTCTCTTTGTTTTTCTGGTTCTCTCTCTAAACTTTTATGACAGTGTTTTGTCAGGGAAGTGCATTGTGAGGTGCCAAAACTGTTCACACCATCTGAGGCCTCTGCCCCAAGACACATGCCCTTCTTTCTCTCTCTTTCTTTTGTTGTCATTGTTCTTTATTGTGCTTCCCAACCAACTCAACTTTCCACTCATTAACCCCCAAAGTTTCCTCATTTACAGTTTTGCTTTGGTCACACCTCTTTCCAAATCAGTCACTCTCTCATTCATCCTTTTGAACTGCATTTTCTTCTGCAGACTAAGGCAGGGGCTCATCCCCAAGCCCCAACCCCAAGATGCTTCTTCAGAACTGAGTCAAGTCACCCCCTTTTTTCTTCTCTCTCTCAACTCTCAACTGGCCTTTGGTTGGGCTTCATAAAGAGATTAAAGTTTGCTTGTTTTAGAAGTTTGTCTCTCTTTTCTCTTTTTGCAAATCAGATGGACTTGTTGGGCTTCTTTTTCCATTCTACCCCGTCCCCCCATATTATTGTTGCTTCCCACAAGAGATTAGATGCCATCATAGCTTCATTTCGGTTAAAAATGCAATATTCCGTTTAAGTTTTGTAGAGACTAAGGTTGGAGAGAATCCAATTTTAATGTATTCTCATTATTAAAGTCTATATATATAGACAAATATACAAGGTTGACCTAATCCTATAAGGAGAAGGTAAATGACAAATTAATATTAATACAGGAATATAAAATATACTAATCTATATACTCTAACACTCCCCCTCAAGTTAGTGCATATATGTTAATCATGCCCAACTTGTTAGACAAATAATCTATTCGTGCTTCATTCAATGCTTTAGTAAATATATCCCCGAGCTGATCTCCAGTCTTCACATACCCTGTAGCCACCAATCCTTGCTGTATTTTCTCACGTACATAATGACAATCAACTTCAATATGTTTGGTTCGTTCATGAAATACTGGATTAGATGCAATATGAAGAGCTGCTTGATTATCACACCAAAGTTTCATTGGAGTGGTGATGTCAAATCCCAATTCAGTCAGAAGCTGATGTATCCATACTAATTCACACACCGACTGTG